TTTTATGGTTTACATCTTACAGAGAATTAAGGAGCTAGAAGAAAGAATTGAAGGTCAAAAAAGACAGATAAAAGAATTAGAAGAAAAGGTATGGTAATATAAATGAAACATCAATGATAAGATATACATATATGTGGATATATATTCATATATCTTAAGAAAATAACCTTATCAAGAAAGTAAAGTTGCAAATAAATGTTCTTGTAATGTTGATTCACTCTTGCGCTGTTGGTGTAGATTGTATTATTGCAAAATCTCGTGTAAGAGATGGACAAACCTCTAAAGACTGAGGTTTGCTTCAGTTAAACATCTGAAATAGTGATGCATTTCTGAAGTTTATCCAAACTTAGCCATAGCTATTTGGTCTGGAAAGCCTATTCTCACCAGTTCTCTGTATTCTGATTGGATGGGAAGCACAATGACAGAGGCCTTTCCCCAGGTATTTCAATACTTGGGCTTCCAGTCTTGGCTGAAAACAGGAAGTGCGAAAACATATGAGGATAGAAACAAACAAGTTTACCAGACCTTTTCAGATACACCTCTACCTCGATATAATGCAACCCGACATAACACGAATTTGGATATAATGCAGTAAAGCAGTGCTCCGGGGGGGCTGCGCACTCCGGTGGATCAAAGCAAGTTCAATATAACTCAGTTTCACCTATAATGCGGTAAGTTTTTTTGGCTCCCAAGGACAGTGTTATATCTAGGTAGAGGTGTATTGGGATGGTTTGAGTTTAGGGCAAAGTTTCAAATCAGTTGTCATTTTATTGGAACTTGTGCCAATGTGCGAAAGGTTTTAGATCATAAACTCTTTGTGGAAGACACTGTCTTTCTCTCTGTTTGGGAAGCACCTAGCACATGCACATTTTGAGTGCTACTATAGTGCAAATAAATAATAAAAATTAATAATAATTTCAAATAAACTTGTGAGCTTAAAAAGCAAGAAGATATCTGAGGAGATGCATTAGCACAGTGTCTGGCATGTATCACATCCAGACTGACCTAATGATGGAGCATGGAAGGAAGCATCTTGCATTTCAAAATAAACCCTTCTGGGAAAGAATGCTCCAAGGTTGCAGTTTGATTTTTCCTCTCTCCACCTCTTTTCACACAGATGTCTAGTACATGGGCTTGGTGTTGCAGAACTATGCAGATTTGGGCAGGGGAACCTATGTAACTTGGAAGCAGGTCAGGGGATTGCAGAGCATCACCTTTACAGCCACTTCTCAAGCCTTTGGTGTTGCTGTCCATATCTCCTATGTGAAGGTCCCAAACACACTGCTCTCAGCCTGTCATTAGCACTTCCTCATCCTGACACATTTGGAGTTGGCATGAGGCTCATTTCCCAGCATATAAGGAGATTCAGAGGCTCCCCTGCTGACCACTTCACCTGTCACCCTTCCACTCCACTCAACACGGGAATATCAGGGGTTCCATGACATAGAGGGCCTTGCACCAACTGGTGAATTTTACCCTAAAAGTATAATAAACCACAGTAAAAGCATTTATTTCTAGGAATGGGTGAATTTGTTCATATATAATAGCAATTCATCTGAACTTTCACCCAAAACTAAAACCAAACCTAAAGAAAACCTTTTTTTGAAGGTTCAAAAGAGCTAATTGCTTTCCTCCCACCCCTCATTTATTCCTGCCCATCTTGCTTCCAGCCTGGACAGGATGCATATGTGCAGGAAATCTCATGAGATTCTGCTCAGTTTTGCAGACTCAAGAGGTTCAGTTGAGCAGTCAGAGACTCTGAACTTTTGGAAGTTTACCCATCACTACTTATTTCTCTTCCTTTCAAATGACAATTTTGCCTTCCTCTTGTCTGTAACCGTGGCTTATTTCTCACTAGACACACTGTAAATTCTTTTTCTCTTTCTTTCTTTCCTTCCTTCCTTTTCTCCTTCCTCCCCTATTTCCTTTTCAGTTTTTATTTTTGTTTTTATTTTTCTCTTTAGCTTTCATTCTTTGGTCATAGTTCATCAGCCTACGTACAGATGGTAAGTATTTTGTTTGCTGATTATCTCCTGTTTCTGGTCCAATTCTTGTCAACCTTCAGTGCTCTGCTATCACTATGCAGGCTGCATCTGTAGTGTGGTCAGGTCAGCAGGGAGTCTCTTGATAATGGAAATATCTAAAGAATTTGAAATGTATGGAAAAGAATAAGGCATCCTTAAATGATTTCTGTATATAGGCTGAACAAACTCTAATTTAAGATTTCTCCATGCAAAGGGAAGGACAAGGAAGGCACTAACTACTATAGAAGTAAAAACAACCCCACTAAGCTGCTAGAAAATTGAAAAATAATGTCAGTTTATCAGTATTCCCATGATGGCAGATTATATTCTGGCATGAAGAAGTTGCTATAGCTAGCCATTATTCAGTAATCTTATTCAATATGAATCCATTATGTATTTTCAGTATCCAGTTAGGTTTGCATGATGCAGAGTTTGGTTTAGGCTGAGTCACTTTTGTAATCTTGTCATATTTTCAGATCTAATTGCCAGAAATTGTTTCCTTTAAAAGTATTATGTCTCAGGGCCCTTACATTGTTTGAATGTAAATTTCCCATTCTGTTGAGTGTGACCGTGTCTTTAAGGAAATAATGGGAAATATTTGTTGGATACCATCATCTAATTGATGGCATTGTATGGGACAATTCCTGCTGTATATAACATTTCAATAAAATGTAATGCAAATCCTCTATTATATGAATACTCTAGTTTAAGTTATCATAGATTGTGAATGTGAACCTTATAGATATTTTATGCATGTTATTTTTTTTCCTGGATATACTTTCCTTTGATCCCATGTCTTTGAAAATTTTCTTGTTTCAGACTACTGAGGAAGCTAGAAATGCTTATATTCTTATTGAGCAAGACAGCCTTGGTTACCAAGGTGAAATAAAAAAGAAGACATTACTATTTCTAGAAGCCCAAATATATATTTTGTCACTGAAGACTGAGGATATAATCTTTTTGACCCTTTTAGACAATGAATTAAGATGTATGGGAATTTCTTAAAGTGGAGTCTGCTCTTCTGATGTCTATGACTGTACATTTTTATAAGCTAGAATTAGAACTGTCTAAGAAGAAAGCCAAAAAAAATATAAAAAAAAATTAACAATTACAGGTTTCTCTAAAGGAAGCCCCGTCTCTGCTGCTTGAAACAACTTTCAGCTTTACATAAAAAGCAGTATACTAATTCAGATAAAGTGAATATATTTTGGTTCCCTGCTAAGCAGGTAGTAAACTGCTTCTGTAAAGAAGTGATCATGTCCTGTTTTATACGTCACTCATGTATATGTGTTACTCATAGTTATTTAAATACATGTCTTAAAGGAAGATTTTAAAAAGAGTTCCAGACTAGTCTATGATGAAAACATAAATGTGAATGAAATGAAGCATTGTATTCCAAGATGTCTTTCCTTCAGTTGAAATGGGAAGTAGAACTAATTCATCTGATAATTTCAGAAGGATGTATTTCTTTTCCATAGCACAGGGTATGTATAATGATTTGTTGAATATCCCAAGCACTTAATGATGGTGGGGAGGTGTGTCTACAAAGTTCTGAACCTTCAGAATGTGAAGGTTTCATTTTGTTCTGAAGTTTCAGCAAACTATGCTCTGTAACACTAAGAGAAAAATGGCACAATAATGTATAATGCACTTAAGTTCCTCAATGAAGATGAAGCATTCAACAGTGTCTCGTGGAAACTTTGAACCTGTAAAGGGAATAGAAGTGAAAATGTGTGGTCACTGATCTGAATGTCCAGAATGCTGGAAGGTGGGAATGTGTGTAAAAAAGAAGATTTAATTAATTTGAGAAAAGAAAGCACAAGCAAGGAAGGTGGGAATCCCTGATTGTATCTCTTGGATTTAAATGTCAGAAAAATGAAAAAAAAAAAAAAAAAAAAAAAAAAAAAAAAAAAGTCTTCTGTAGAAAGATACACAAAGGAAAGACTCTGAAAGAAAGCACACAAATGTACTTCACCAAAAAA